GAAAGGAGATACCCGCAGGCGATGAGGCAGCATATTCGGGAAGAATTGGAAAGCCGGAAGGAGCAAGGGATCATAGTCGATAGCACCTCGCCATTTAATAGTCCCCTGTGGGCAGTGAAAAAGAAGGCAGCGCCGGGGGATAATAAGGAAAAATACAGAGTGGTAGTGGACTATCGTAGGTTGAACGATAACACGGTAGACGAAAAGTACCCGATCCCTAGATTCGAAGATATACTTGATAGGTTGAGTGGGGCCGTGGTGTTTAGCACGTTGGACCTCAAGGCGGGATACCACCAAATACGGATGCACCCGAAGGACCAACATAAGACGGCGTTTACATTCGAAAGGGGGCATTACGAATTCACCAGAATGCCGTTTGGTCTGAAGAATGCGCCCATAACGTTTCAACGCCTGATGGACGAATTTCTGAGGGGGATCGACGACTCCGTATGTCAAGTATACATGGACGACCTGCTGATTTTTAGCAGAACGGAAGCCGAACACGTGGGGCATTTGAGGTCGGTATTCGAAAGGCTGCGACAATTCGGGCTGAAACTGTCAAGTGAGAAGTCCCTGTTGGGACAAACGCGAATCAATTTTTTAGGCCACACTATTTCTAGCGAGGGGGTCAGACCGGATGCGGCAAAGGTGGAGGCTATCACACGAATGGCGGTGCCACGGGACGTTAAAGGGATTCGTAGGCTTCTCGGGACGCTGAATTATTATAGGAGATTCGTACCTGAGATGGCAGAATACTTGGTACCTATCAATAACTTGCTGAAGAAAGGCGCGAGGATCGTGGTGACACCGGAAATGGAAAATAATATTCGGAAATGCATGGATAGGTTGCAGGCAGAACCCGTATTGGCGTTCCCGGATTTTGAGAAGCAGTTCAACGTCACCACCGATGCGAGCGAATACGCGTTGGGGGCCGTTTTATCCCAGGGCAGAAGTGAGGGTGAACGTCCGATAGCATACGCGAGCCGACGGCTTACGAGCGCGGAATCACGGTACAGCGCGTTAGAGAGGGAGCTACTCGCGATAGTGTGGGCCATCGACCATTTCAGGCCATATATATTTGGGAGGAAGTTTCGAGTCCACACCGATCACAAACCCCTTCAGTGGGTAGGAAAACTTAAGGAAACCTCTGCGAGGGTCACGAGATGGAAAGAATTCCTTAGTCAGTACAACATGGAGGTGGTGTATAAGCCGGGAAAGGAAAACGTGGTGGCAGACTGGCTCTCTAGGGCCATCATGATCAACGCGGTAGAAGAGGACGGAGGAGGTCCATCGCGGGACGTGCGCCAATTCTTGAGGGAATGGACTCCTGAGGGTGAAGGGGCAGATGATACCGTCAGTATAGAGGACAGGGAGGGGTCCCCGGAAGAAGAGAGCTCAGCGGAGGAAAGACCAGAGGCGATGGAGGAAATAGACGAAATCATCAACGACAAGCATAGACAGGTAATCTGGAAAACCAGGACAACAGGGATCATGAAAATAGATTACCGAAGATACGGGAAAAGTAGGATTCGCGTCATTTGGTCGCAACCCGGGGTGAGCGAGGAGCAAATCCGTACGGCACTGAAGGACGCCACGGAACCGGGAAAGACACACCATCTCTATGTTGGGAACAACACGGTATGGGAGAAAATAAAGCGGATGTGGAGATCCGAGCGGATAGGCATGGATAGAACGATCATCCGGTGCAAGTATGCAGTGGAAACCGTACAGGATGAGGAGCAGCAACAAGCAATTACATTGGCATACCACCAGGGGAAGACCAACCACCGAGGCGTCAACGAGACGTTGCAGGCATTACGGCGAAAGTATTTCTGGTGGGGAATGAAAAAATCTATCCAAGGAATCATCGGGAAATGCGAGGTATGTATGCGCACAAAGTATGATCGACACCCCCCCAGAGGAGTTCAGGAAGAGACACCTACAGGGAATATGCCGCTACAAGACCTCCAGATCGATACATTCACCTGGAAAGGGTTCAAGTGGGTCACGATCATCGACACCTTTAGTAAAGTAGCTATGGCACATCAGGTCATGGACAAGTCTGCCAATGCAGTTGCGGAAGCCCTACAAATCTGGATACAGTTTTACGGAGTTCCCGAGAGGATCACATCAGACGGTGGTAGAGAATTCGACAATACCGCGATTAGGGAGGAGGTGAAAAGGTTAGAGGTTGTGTGGCATTATAACACACCGGGACACCCTAAGAGTAGAGGAGGAATCGAACGCTTGCACAGCACGTTGAGTGACCACATCCGTGTATATCAGGGAGAGAAAGGGTTGGAGCCGGATGTTGCGATGAAGAAAGCCGTAACAGCTTACAACCATTCGATCCACTCCGTAACGGGGTTTTCACCTGTGGAAATACTATTCGGGATGCGCAGGCCAAGGAGAGATTGGGGGGAAACAACGACCAATGAACATCTCGTAGAGCAAATCCAGAATACTAGGGTAGAGGTAGGAAAGACGTGGGGGAAGGTAGCGGGGAGAATTCAGCGGGAAAAGGAGAAGCGGGTAGCGCGGCAGAATGTGCAGGTACGTGACCGAATGGGAGAATTAAAAATCGGAACAATAGTGTATCGTAGAATTGGAACCAACAGAGGGAAACAATTGTTACGGTACGAGGGCCCATTCAGAGTGGTTGCTATTAGGGAGCATAATCTGGTAACCATTGAAAGCATTAACGAACCTAAGAAGAGGAGAACTGTTCATATTGAACAATTGAAGCTCCCAATGTTAGAACCGGTACAGAAACCAATTGATTCGTAGTACCCTTATCGCGTATTATAAAAAAATATGTTTTTTTTATTATTATTACTGTTGATGATGTCATTTTTTTTTAATTATTTTTGTTGTTCTTGTAAATAAAGATATGGCAGCATAATAGAGGTGATTGTAATTTTTATAGGATTAAGAGTTCTGTTCCATTGTTAATAAGACGTTGTGTGTTTACTTTCTGTGGTTTATTTCTTTTTATTTATTTCTCGTTCCAGCGGAGTGGAAGTGAGGTTTGGTGTACTTTAAGTTTATACTGGTACAAATAATTGTAAAGGGTTAAGGCTGATACCGGTGGCTCCGATCTGGGAATTTATAAGTTTCCGAAAATCCTATTCGTAAACTGGTGGGGGGGAGATAAAGACCGGAGACTGGCGATATCAGCCTTAATACCATCTTGTAATGTAAATAAACATAGCGATTGTATATAAGGCAGATTATTGGACGAATAAAGCAGTGTTTATTCAGAAGCCGTGACTATTGTTTCTCGTTCCTCTTTCCTTCTTTTTTTTTATTTTTAAAGCCCGGAGACGCTTAACTTATATATATATATATATATATATATATATATATATGAGAGTTCCATTTGAACTCATGATCTTCTATCGATTCTTCTGGATTTCTGAATTTGTGTGCTATATATTCCATCATAATTTCATTTTAATTATTTTGAAATTTTGTTTTGTAGATCACGCCAAACGATCCAATATTTTTATAAGCCACCTTATTTCTCGATTTTGTGATCAAATTATCTTACGATTCAATTGAAAAGTAGTGTTTTCCGAAATCGGTCTTGCACGTTGCCTAAGGACCGCGAAAAAATAAAACCAAGGCGAAAAGGAAAAAATAATGTCAAAAACCAAGTGATAATGAGTTTTATTGAAGATATGGATTAAAATATCTCATAAACTAAAAATCGGACCTACATTCTGTAAGCATAGGAATTGTTCAGTATTTCATCCTCTTTGCAATGAACTGTTGTTCAAAATTTTATCGTAAAGAGACGCCAAGTTAGAGAGACGAAAAGCGAAAAAATAGTGTCGAAAACCAATTAATAACGGTTTTTTTGGATATATGGATTAAAATATCTCAGAAACTAAAAATCGCACCTTTATACTGTAAGCGAGGGAAATGTTCAGCATTTCATCCTCTTTATAATGAGCTATCCCCATCCCCATCCCCACATATATTATTACAGTAAGGCTCGAAATCGGTTTTGTACCAAATATAAGCTTCTGTCATGTTCAAATACCATGAATGGGATAACTGTTGGATTCAGAATTTCACGGGGGGTTAGCGAATCGTATTCTCCACGTTTGTTTTTCTTTCTAAAATAAATAACGTCGACACAAACACTTTCCTAGGCTTCAATACTGGAACGGTGGTAGGTCTGTAGATCGATACGGGACAAATTGGATCTTGAAGATTTTGATGCCTACAGCAATAATAGTTCCTCCGGAACTATCGGATCCTGCGTTTTTAAGCCAAAAAACGTACTATTTTCGAGATAACGCAAGGCATAGGGTGCACAGCCTTACACCAATTGTGGAACTGTCATTGAATACATGTCTCATTTTGTCGACTTGCGGTATCTATGATCAAGAGAGGAGGAGTTTATATTAATTATCGATGGTGTTTTTGATCGGCATGCCATATCATCGTTAATTTTTTACCGAATCTCAAGATTGAGCCACCAATTTCGAAGGTCTCCTTCAGGCGGGCAAAATAGTCCAATCACTCTGGAAATTCAGGCAAACAATTTATGAAAGAAAACAAACTTTGTTTGTGAATAAAAAATTACACACTTTTACCTTGGTTATGCCCATGATCATATAAAAGAATATTAAATTCACTACAAAAGGAAAAAAATATCAGCGAAATCGGACTATTCTTAACAAAGATAGTCTTACTGAAATTTGTGAACATGTTGGTTCCAAACAAAAATGAAGATTTAAATTAATTTTTGTTTTCTTTGTCGATTATATTTATCGATAAAGTAACATTTGATTTCTTTATCTTTTGATTTTATTATCAATTTGGCATTTGATAACAATATGTTGTGCGAAAAATTCGCACGGGCCTACTAGTCATTTATAATTTATATCTCATATTATTAATCTCGCCTTGTTTATGTTATCACTTCTATTGTGTCGTCTAAAGCATACACCTTAGTTTTTTTATTAATGAAAGCTTTTTTTTTCTTTCAGAACACAATTATTTGACCACCTCCATGCCGTGGAATAGGATGTTGAAGGTTGGGATCCTGTTCGTTGTGCCACTGCTCATCCAGGCATCGATTGCTGTGAGTAAAAACTCTTAATCAAACTTCATTCTTATCATTTGAATAATAAAGTTTGTTATTGTTTATTAAATTCAACTGAAATAACACTGATGATATGATGATATATTAAGATAATTATTTTCATAATTCATGTTGAATATTATCAGAGCCAAATGTTACATTAAGTACTAACTGAGTAATATATTCCCCTGAGAATACTCACGCTAGATTATGCAGCTATTCTTTTCTTTAATGCATTCAAAATATAAGCGTCATCAGCGAAACATATTTATTCGAATATAAGATAATATAATGTTATCAATCCCTAAAAGAGGTATTGAGCAAATATGATATTAAGATATACACCTTGAACAATGGTTTCACAAATGGAGAATTAAAATCAATCCCAGCAAGTCAACTCATGTTAGCTTTTCCCTGAGGAAGATCTCGTGTCCTGCTGTGATAATAGACAATAAACCAGTTCCCTCAAAAACACATGTACGATATCTCGGACTATACTTGGACAAAAAACTCACCTGAACATTCACACTAAATTAAATAAATAAGAACTGACCAGACGATACAAACAACTGTCACCTCTTTTAGACTACAGATCTCCACTCAACTTACTAAACAAGCGACTAATCTACACCACTTTACTAAGACCTATTTGGACATACGGAGCAGAACATTGGGGTTCCGCAAACACACACACACACACATAAACAAAATTCAAAATACTTCGTAAAATCGTCAATGCTCCTTGGTTTATTTCAAATCACACCATACACACAGACATGAACGTACCAAAAGTAAAATCCTACATACACAACAAGTTCACAACATTTCATTCTTCTACTCTCAATCATCCAAATCCACTCGTTCTATCTCTATCTTCCTCCCTGTTACCTGGTGAGCCTCAAAGACGACTAAAAAGGCAGTGGCCTAGAGATCTGCGAAAAGTTAAGAAAATATCAGGAATTCAAGAAGATATAATTAACGCCAACATATTTGCTTGATGTGTTCCAACGCAGTGGCAAATTTAAAATAACAAAAAAAAAGAAATTAAAAAAAAGTGAAATATATCAAGGAGAAAAGAACAAAAAAAAAAATAAATAGAAGATATAAATAATTGAAAATAATTGCAAAAACTAATAAAAAAATAAACTTAAAAAAAAAACAGATATATTAGATAACTGGATAAAAATAGTGACGAGTTTGCGACCCGGTGAAGGAGGAGTCTTTTAACTATATATATATTGGATATATATATATATATATATATATATATATATATATATATATATATATATATATATATACGAATAAATATGTTTTCCTGATGTCGCTTATTCGCTTAATGCATCAGGGAGAAGTATAGTTATTTGATGTGAGAGTTATCGCTGGGATAGTCCAACACTTCGTATTTACATATAATGCAAAGTCTAGATACTTTCATGATAAGTTCACAGAAGTTTGGAAAAACCAGCCAGTTAGCTAATTACGTTAATATTTATATTATTCATGGCTTCGGAGTAACTAGGGAAATTATATATATATACAAAACAAGGAAAAACAAAAATATCATACGAAAAATCGGTAATTGTGTCATCAATAAATGAGTAGAAGAATGACGGCATGTTATTAAATTTATTCCTTTAAGTATATAAAATTTTTATATAACTTGTGTCTAAAGACCACCTTACTATTCAATATTATTGAATCAATATCGAATATATTGACCGTCTGAGGGATATATTGTAACAATTATATTGACATTTGTACTGTTTATACAACGTTCAAGAATATTGCTTCAATAATATCGATTCAATAATATTGACCGTTTAAGTTGGGCTTAAGCGGAGGATAAGAACTATCGATAGTCAATAGGACTATTGATTGGGATATCGATGGTTTTAAACTATCGATATATCGATAATTCTATCGACTATCGCCCATCCCTACTTACGATGTCTGGTAGTTAGTCTAGCTTGGTTTGTAGACGTTACTATTTCCTGAAAGATGTTTGGAAAAAAAATGCATTATGAAAGCGCCTCACTAATATCCTCAAACAGGTTTTTGCCTATCCTCCATTCTAGGTCAAGATATAATTGGCTGATTCACGTTAAATGTTCTCCAACAAACCTGACTTCCTATAATGACTTTAAATCTCTTCTTTTTAATCATGAAAAATAAATGGACCCATGAGAGGAATGAATATTGTGTATAACTCATTTACATATAATTAAGATCACTCAATTTTAACAAAAATATTTCTTTGTCATATCTAAATTTTAAAAGTGATATTTACTTATTAAATTTTCCAAGAGTTAACAAAAATATAAATTTGGAAAATAAATAGATTCATTTGTTAATATTTATCAATAGTAATATTACGTATTCATGTAATTTATATGTAATCTTGAGTTATTATTAAAATTAATATCTGTTATATTAATTTTGTAAATTAATCTAATATACGTCCCATACAAATCTAAAGTAAAAATGTACCCTCTTAAAAATTTCGATGGCACAGCGGTTGATTGATTAGTCCAAATCCTGTCTCACAAAAACCTAATTAAAATACTTATACTAAAATAATTTTTTTTTTCAGATTCAAGATGGATGGACAATTTATACTCCTGATGATCAACAACAATTCTTGAATAAATTCACAGTACATGAACAGTTTATGTCAAATATTATAACTCAGCTGGTAAAAAAAATTGGTCCAGCAACAGAGAAATTGCTATCATATGTTACAGCTGACTCTAGTGAATTCCTCTCCAATTTGCAAACAGATGAATACACATTTCTTCAAATAATCGCCTCACTCAGTGAAAACGACACAACACATACAAACCAACTTTTGGAACTTGCTTTGTCAATGAAAACAAATCAAGAACCCATTTTGAGCGAGTGGGTAAGATCAAAGTTAAACTTCCCTGAGGAAAAAATGTACCAAGTAATCGATTCTGTAGTGAAATGGAAAAGAAGAGGGTTAATGAGTGTACCTAAGCCCATTGTGGACGAAATACTTCTCATGGCTAACAAGACACAACTGATAATTGAAGCGTGCCAGAAGGGAGATTCAGAAATATTTTCTTGGCTTTTAAAAAATGGAGATCGCTTAGAATTAGGCGAAGCTCTTGAAGCAGCTTGGGAAAATAATAACCGTGACATTGTAAAACTTCTGATTCTCAACGGGGCTGTTAAGGATATAAAAAGTGAAATGATAGAACAAACGAACGACAGGAAAGAAACAATTCTTCATATCGCAGCTGAATTGAAAATGCCCGAAAAAGTTAAATCTCTGCTGGAGAAAGGAGCGAAAATAGATGTTGTTGACTCAGAGGGGTTCACGCCATTACACAGGGCAGTAGAAAATAATGACTTGGACACTGTACAAACTCTTCTTCAAAAAGGAGGCAATGCAAATTTAGAGACATCTTTGGATGAGACTCCACTACATACTGCAGTGAAAAACGGAAATTTAGAGATAGCCAAGTTACTCTTAGAATCTGGAACCGTTATTGATAAGAAAAACATCTATGGAATGACGCCTTTAGACATTGCCGAACGTATGGTCATCGTTGGTGTAGTAGAAAATTTACTAAAAGACAATTATACATTACCTAAAAATGCAGATACTCAAGAACTTAATCTCATATTTTCAACTATTCTTCTTAATAAAAATAAGAATGAAACATTCGAAAACATCGATCTTGAAACACTAACGACTGTATCTCAAATTGCAGATCTTTTACTAGGACATGATGCAAAATCTTCAATTGACGACACTCTCAAGTCAAGTTTGTTAGCATTTACCATTGATAAAGGAGACGAAGAACTCTCGAAACTTATGCTTAACATAGGTGCTAACAAAGCTGCAACTAATCTTAATGGGGAAACACTATTATTCAACGCGGTTAAGGAAGGTAAACCGGAAGCACTTAAATTTTTGTTGGATCTCAATGTTGACGTAAATGCTAAAAACAAAGATGGTTACACTGCTTTACATGTCGCGACAGAGAAAGACGATATGGTTATAAGTAATCTCTTGATTAAACATGGAGCTAAGATTGACGCTGAAACTATTCATAAGAATACTCCTTTGCACGAAGCTGCGAAGTTAGGAAAAGTCAATGCTGTCTATATGTTATTGGAAAAGGGTGCTAACATAAACGCTCTAGATTCTGAGAAGAGAACACCTCTGTTTTTGAGCTCTGAAGCTGGACATGAAGTAATTACCAAGTATTTGACCGATAGAGGGGCAAATTGTAGTATACAAACAAGGGATGGCAAAACAGCGCTTCATGCAGCTGCTTCCAATGGCCATCTAATCGTTACCAAATACTTATTGAAGTGTATTGAAAATATCGATAGTATTGATAAAGATCATAGGACACCTTTGCATTTAGCGGCATCAGCTGGTCATTTGTCAGTAGTAACAGAGCTTTTGAACAATGGAGCTTTCCTATATTCAAAAACAAAAGAAGCTGGATGGACGCCATTGCATTTGGCAGCTGCTGCAGGGAAAACATTAATTGTTAAATACTTATTGGATATCGGTACGGAAGTAAATGTCAACAGTTACGACGATAAAACCCCTTTGTTCGAAGCTGCTTACTGGGGTCAGTATGATGTCGCAAAATTACTTCTTGAAAGAGGTGCAAATAAAAATTTAAGAACAAAATCAGCCAAATGGGTACCACTGCACGCTGCAGCAGCGAGGGGCCACGTAAAAATCGTACATGCGTTGCTAGATGATGACGGTGATGTTAACGTGAAGGATGGTGACGACAAGAATGCACTTTTTGAAGCTTGCTATTGGGGTCACGAGGATATCGTCAAATTGCTTTTAGAGAAAGGAGCTGATCCCAACGCCAAATCCAAATCAGATGGCTGGGCCCCCCTACACGCAGCATCTGGAAGGGGACATGTATCTATTGTTGTCATGTTACTCGATAAAGGTGCAATAATAAACATTGTAAATAACGATAACAAAACACCATTGTACGAAGCGTCGTATTGGGGGAAACCAAGTGTTGTTGATGTTCTTCTAAAGCGAGGTGCCGATTTCAACATTAAAACGAAATCAGCTGGCTTTTACCCATTGCACACAGCTTCAGGACGTGGACAATATTCAGTTGTTGTCATGTTGTTGGATGCTGGTGCCGATGTAAACGCAGTTAGCCTCGATAACAACACTCCATTGTTCGAAGCTTCATACTGGGGTCGAGATGATATTGTAAAACTCTTATTGGACAGAGATGCCAGCGTCAGTATAAAAACGAAAGATGGTTGGTGGCCTCTGCATACTGCCGCTGGTCGAGATCATCCGAAAATTGTGAATATGTTACTGGATAAAGGCTCAGATGTAAATGCAAAAAATAATGACGACAGAACTCCTTTATTTGAAGCATCTTACTGGGGACGTGGTAATGTAGTTAAAGAGCTTATTAAAAGAGGAGCAGACGTAAATATCAAAACAAAAGGCGATGGTTGGGTACCTTTGCACGTAGCGGCTCAAAGAGGTCATGCAGAGGTCGTGAATATGCTTCTACAAAATGGCACATACGTAGATGTACGAAATTTTGATGACAGAACGCCGTTGTTTGAAGCTTCCTATTGGGGGAAAGAAGCTGTTGTCAGAATCTTGATCGAAAAAGGAGCAAACGTAAATATAAAAACAAAAAAAGATGGATGGTCTTCTCTTCACATAGCTGCAGCTCAAGGTCATGCAGTCATTGTCAAAATATTATTAGAAAAAGGGGTAGCTGTAGATATAAAGAACAATGATGATAGAACTCCGTTGTTTGAAGCTTCTTATTGGGGGCGTGAAGCTGTAGTCAAATTGTTGATAAATAATGGAGCCAACCTGCACGCCAAAACAAAGGCTGACGGATGGGAAGCTCTGCACACTGCTTCGGCACAAGGACACATAGCTATTGTAAACATGTTTCTAAATCTAGGTGCTGATGTAAATGTCAAAAACAACGATGACCGAACTCCCTTGTTTGAAGCATCATACTGGGGGCGAACTGCAGTGGTGAAAACACTTCTTGAGAAAGGAGCTGATATAAACATAAGAACTAAAGGAGATGGTTGGTATCCATTGCATGCCGCTGCACAAAGAGGCCATGCAAAGATTGTGAATCTGCTATCGGATAGAGGCTCAGATGTGAATGCAAAGAATTATGACGACAGAACCCCATTGTTTGAGGCATCGTATTGGGGACATGCGGAAGTGGTTAATGAACTTCTTAAAAAAGGAGCTGACATAAATGCCTTGACAAAAGGTAATGGTTGGGTGCCCTTGCATGCAGCGGCCCAGAGAGGACATGCAGAGGTTGTGAAAATACTCCTGGACAAAGGTACAAACGTAAATGAAAAAGATTTTGATGACAGAACACCATTATTTGAAGCGTCGTACTGGGGTCATGAAAAGGTCGTCAGAGTTTTGATTGAAAGAGGAGCAAACGTAAATATCAAAACAAAAAAAGATGGATGGTATGCTATCCATACAGCTGCCTCTCAAGGCCATAGAGGTATTGTTAGTATGTTATTGGAACAAGGAACAGCCGTAGATGTTAAAAACAATGATGATAGGACTCCATTGTTCGAAGCATCGTACTGGGGTCGGATGGAAATTGTTAAAGATCTTATTAACAAAGGAGCCGACGTAAATGCCAAAACGAAAGCTGATGGTTGGGTGTCTTTGCACACAGCGGCCCAAAGAGGACACTTAGATATCGTGAAGCTACTCCTCGATAATGGTTCAGACGTAAATGCAAGAAATTTCGATGATAGAACTCCGTTGTTTGAAGCATCGTACTGGGGGCATGAAGAAATCGTCAGACTTTTGATCGGAAGAGGAGCAAACGTAAACATAAAAACTAAAAATGATGGATGGTATGCTATTCATACAGCTGCATCACAAGGCCATAGGAATATTGTGAATATATTATTAGAACAAGGAATACCTGTAGATATTAAAAACAATGATTACAGAACTCCCTTATATGAGGCATCGTACTGGGGTCGGGTGGAGATCGTAAAGGACCTTATTAACAAAGGAGCTGACGTTAAAGCCAGAACTAAAGCTGATGGTTGGGTGTCACTACACGCAGCGGCTCAAAGAGGACATGTTGAAATCGCAAAGCTCCTTCTGGGCAATGGTACGGATGTAAATGCAAGAAACTTTGATGACAGAACTCCGTTGTTCGAGGCATCATACTTCGGGCAAGAAGCAGTCGTCAGAATTTTGATCGAAAGAGGCGCAAATGTAAACATAAAATCCAAAAATGATGGATGGTCTTCTCTTCACACAGCTGCATCGCAAGGTCATGTGGGTATTGTTAAAATATTATTAGAACAAGGGATACCCGTTGATGTTAAAAACAATGACGACAGAACTCCATTGTTTGAGGCATCGTACTGGGGTCGAGTGGAAGTAGTTAAGTATCTCATTAACAATGGAGCCAACGTAAATGCCAAAACGAAAGCTGATGGTTGGGTGCCTTTGCATGTAGCGGCTCAAAGGGGACATGTACAAATTGTGAAGATGCTATTGGATAAAGGTACGGACGTAAATGCAAGAAATTTTGATGATAGAACTCCGTTATTTGAAGCATCGTACTGGGGTCAAGAAGAAATCGTCAAAATTTTGATTGGAAGAGGAGCAAACATAAATATCCAAACTAAAGGTGCGGAGTGGTATGCTATCCACACAGCTGCATCACAAGGCCATAGAGGTATTGTTAAAATATTACTAGACAATGGGACACCAATTAATGCAAAAAACCGTGAAGGGAAAACTCCTTTGTTTGAAGCATCTTATTGGGGTCGCGAAGAAGTTGTCAAATTATTGCTCAAAAATGGAGCAGATATACATGCTAAGACAACTGGCGACTTGGAAGCCATACACACTGCCTCTTCAAGGGGGCACGCTGGAGTTGTGGTATTGTTATTAGATCAAGGAGCCGATGTAAATGTTAAAGACATCGATGACCGAACTCCATTGTTCGAAGCATCGTATTGGGGGCACGATGAAGTAGTAAGTCTTCTGATTTCCAGGGGGGCGGATGTTCTTGCGAGAACAAAAGGTTCCTCTTGGACTGCTTTACATACTGCCTCTTCAAGGGGTAATGTTGGGGTAGTTAAACAATTACTTGCACTCAACATTGATGTGGATGTCGAAAACATAGAGAATAAGACACCATTGTTTGAAGCAGCCTATTGGGGTCGTTATGATGTTTGCAAAGTTCTGTTAGACAAAGGCGCAGACCCCAATGCTAAAACAACTGGAAATCAGTCACCAAAGGATGTAGCCAAAGCTCGAGGGCATTTAGAAGTTTTAAAGTTACTAAATGAGTATGGTAAGTAAGATATTCAAACTATACCCCTAAATCATCTCCATTCTTACACTCTATACCTGTGGAGGTTCCTAAACTGTGGTCCATGAAACAATTTTGACAGTAACTTAAATCCTCTAAATTTTCGCTTTAATTAAAATAACTCATTTATTTTTAATACTTTTTTTGCCTAGAGTTGCAATGGTGTCAACAAATAAAATGTTCAAGGGAACCTCTGACCTAACAGATATTTGTTACACCAAAGATTTAAGAATGTGTATTTTGCCAGTGATAATTATATGTTAGCAGGGTCAAATCTATTTATATTTAACCTATATTGCCTGTTTATTGTTTTTAAATGTGAAAGATAGTATTATTTGACTATAAAAATGTATATATATTCAATACTTTTTTTTTATTTCAATATTAGTTTATAAAACAATACATAATCATGAATTGTTATTTTCAGTCAAGAATTAAACAAAAAAAAAATTAACTTTTGTATCCATAATGATGTAGAGATGGTTGACCGTTGATATAATATGAGGAGTTAGTCGAGGGTGCGGTCAAATAAATAAAAAAATTAAAATATATAAATTATTTTAATTTTTAATCTTTTATTTAAAATAATTTATATATTTTAATTTTTTTATTTATTTGACCGCACCCTCGACTAACTCCTTCTCATAACTTTTGTATCAGTTAAATTAAGTTAATATAAAAAAAATGTATTTGCAATGTGTTTTTCTTTAGCAAATCAACAGATTTTAATTATTTTAAATATTGTAATTACTTTTTAGCATGATGAATTGTAACTAGCAAATTTGCAGAAATTGAGCTTTTTACTAATCAAGAAACCTGTAACTTCTAGTTTTATTATTCATAACTTGTTTTCTTGCATCCTGTTATTTTTATTTTAAAATAGAAGTATTCAACATATACTCAACCAGTTCTTCCACCATCCTGTAGCAGTGCCTTATTCAAACACTTAGGCAAAATACTAAATCTTTCTTCAGGATTGGTTTCTAATGAATTTTGATTCTTAAAAATTTATTAAGACCTTTAGAGAAATTAACACTGTATATATCCAACTATGTACTTAATACATCATATAAGTATGTACTACATGTAAGTAACACTATGTGTAGCATATCATCTTTCTTCTGAAATTTTCCACATATCAATATTCATCATGGTTCCTCTTTTAAGACAATCTTATCATCCATCACCTATCCTTATATCAAATGTAAAACATTTCATGAACATTTTTAATTTATTTTGTTCTAATGAAACAAACACAGTATTTTATAGTTTTTATTCTGTATAGTTAATTTGTTTTTTAATTAGTATGTAATTTTGTTCATGAGTATTTTGTAAATAATATTTTATATTTTAATTTTGTACATTATGATTATTGTAAAGGACTTAAGTCTCACAATAAACTATTTACTTCCAAACATTCTTTTTTTTTTTTATACATCCCAAAAAGCCACAATCAGTAAAGATGAGTAATTTTTTAATATTGGATAGATGGTTGACTGTTGAGAAAATTGAAGAGAAGTCGGTTCAGTCAAAAAAATAAATAAATGTTATTTATAACAAACAAAAACAAGGCTTAAACAGTTTTAAATGAAGTTGTACCGTTGTTTTCACTTTGACTTTTTTATAAATAAAAATACCTAAGCTTGGTAAGTGAAAGTTGTACCAGACCAGATTTTCCCATTTTTTTAGGATACATCTAGTGAATCATTCCTTACCAGAAACTAAATCCTTTTTGTTATCTTGTTTTTGAATTTTTTTCTTTTTTTTTTTAATTCTCATGTGCCTATAGATGAATATTTTTATTCGATTTATTGATTAATAAATATTTATTTATTTATACTTATCATAAAAGGTAAAACTTCAAATTTTTAGAAGGTATAAACAAAGATTCACTACTTAAAATAAGAGACCAAACAGAATCAAATGTGAGGAATGTAACATAATATAATATGGATTATCATTGGTATTGATAATTAATAATTAAGGAATGTGTGTAGAAGATGGTTTAACAATTTTAAGTAAGTAAGAAATGTTATGAGGGTAAGAAAAAATTTGATTACCTAATAACTAATATATTCATCACAACATACATCTGACATATATGTACAATAACTTAAGACAAAAACTTATTAAAAATGAAAAAACAAAACTACACGTTGCTCTTACGGTATGAAATATACACGGTTTATTAATTAAAAAATAAAGCTCAGAATCGAGAAGTATTCCGTTTAATTCAACTTAAACCTCTCAGCCCTCAGTTTCTTCCTCTCATCAGCGCTAAGTTGAGTAGGTTTCACTCCAGCTGGAAGGGTTACAGGGGCTGTAGTCTTCTCGGCCGTTATAGCCGCCGTAACTTTAGTCGTTACTGTTGTGGTAGCGGGAGCGTTTCCGAACCGTAACTTCCTGGCCTGCAATTTTTCCAAGTGCTGCTTCTGCAAATTTTAAAATACATAAATGAGTACTAATTTTACTTAAATTGAAATAAATAATTTCTAGAAAATTATTTTAAATAGAAGTACATGATAATGATGTAATTAAAATAAATACATAAAAAAAAATACCAAATCAAGTTTCTATGTCTCAGAAATCTGTTATATTTATATACCCACTATCCTAACTGGCTTATGGAAAACACAGCAATATATGTCCATTTTAAAATTATAACACATGTTGCATGTGTTAAGTAAACTACTCAATCCTTCAAGGTAGTAATTAGTTACTAAATTACAATCAAGGTCAAGTTAAATCTCTAATCAGCGAGCTGGTGAACACAAAAGATGTTTGAAGCAGAACTTCAATATTATTATACAATCATACTAATCGTTCCTAGAATAAAATCATTCCTTTTAATTTCATTAATATCATTTAGGATAGGTAGTTACTACGCCTCCAATACTGAAGGTCCCAGGTTCAAATTCATGTCAAAGGTTCGGCTCATGGTAGAAAAATTATTTTGGTACTACTTCACTAGGAGGCCGGCACGAAACTTCACTTCTTATCTATCTTATCAAACGTCAAGTCACATAACCTCCCTCTTCTTATCCCGCCAAAACTTTCAGTTTTTACATTGTTTATTTTTCAGTTATTCCCTTGTTACGTTCACTTATTAAATTCTTTATTTTTGGCCTGTTAGTGTTTATTTTCCATTTTTTTTTTAGTTTTTTTTCGTGAAATTATGAATCTTTTTTGTTACATTCTGGGATTTACTGTCTTCAGAAAAACAGGCTATTGAATATTTTCAAAATGTTGGGATACCTGCAGACGTGAAATTGTGTGAACCAGGTCATCAAACGAAGTTAATCAGCAACGCCAAATGGAGATGCTGTTGTAGCACTTGTGACATAAAACTTTCAATAAGGAAAGTAACATGGTTGCAGGAACATGATTATATATTATGTTCTTTAAATGTTTTTTTATTATTTCATTTTGATATTTTATATGTACATATCTTCTTAAAGTGTTTTTTTATTATTTCATTAACATATGTGTCGTAAAATAAAAGTTTTTTTTTGTTATTACATTTGTTTTTGTTTCTGTTTACACTTTCAATAATACGAATATAATACAATAATACGAATATAGGAGTTATGAGATGGCTTATCACTGCCTTATCGGAATTATCAGTGTTCAGGTTATAAACATTGGCAGATTGCAGTCAGTCCTGGCCTACTAGTGAAGAAGTACCATTATTTTTTCTGTTTCATTGACCGTGGGGCGACCCTGGAGTAGGGAGACCCTCCTGGGGCACACCCAGCCTTTACAAAGTGGGTATCTTTAATTAAATAATTTATTAGGGGGGAAAAACTGATGGTTGAGCGTGATCCTGGCCCGATCCCCTCCCTGCACAACCGTTGGCCTTAAAACAGTACTTTCTCTGAAATAGTACTGAACTCAAGACCCTTCATGGGTTGTAGTGGTACAGGTTTAGTTACTACATAAGGGCATTCAAAACTATTTAATACAGTGAAACTTCCAATTCTTACTTTTCTCGATAGTGGACAAATTTATAAATCCCATCTCGTTTCAGTAATTTTTCAATATAAATGACTTCAGCATAATAGGTGTTATATAACAGACATAGTGTTTTTTTTTTCATTAATTGAAAAACAAACAATATTTGTTTTGATTAAACAGGTACCATTTTTCCATATAAATAAAACTAAATATTATTTATATAATTATTTACAAAGAATTATACTAATAATTTACAAAATTTATTTTTATTATATAAGAGAACAGCTAGGCATTGAAGGAGAGGATTTTCAAATTATATTAAAGATAAATTAACAGGAAAATATTGTTAGTTACCTTGATCTCTGCAGGGGAAAGTATGCCAAATCTCTCAGCTCGTTTCTTTAAGGCCTCATTCACAGGAATCTAAAACAATTTCATGACCAGTTAAATTTATTTAATGAATCATTCATCTCAGGATGAGTAGTTATAATACTGCTTTAATATGTGCTGTAGTTGTAGAATTTATCTTGCTAATTAATCTAATCGTGGAATATCAGCTGAAGACAAACAAAAAAAAAAAAACCCATAAAATATATATATATATATATATATATATATATATATATATATAAAATGGAAAAATATTATACAATTTAATAATGTTAAGATAAATACATGAAACCCAATCAATATTTTGCTTACTCACTACGGGCAGTAGAAAAGGTATGTAATGTATTCATGCAAAAAGTTTTTTTCCTCAGGTTAGAAAATTATTACTTTCTATAATCCTCCATAAGGTGGATAAAAAAAAAACACCGGACTATGAGCTAAAAGCAATAGCACTAGAAACTATAACTCACAAGTACCCTACTCAGGATTGGCTTCACATTTATACTGATGGATCAGCTGCATCAGCCGTTAAAAATGCTGGGACAGGAGTTTACTCGAGAGAGTCTCAGTTCAGTGCTGCGGTGGGTGAGAATGGTACAAATTTTGATGGTGAGATAGCAGCGATCCTCATAGCCCTAAGAACACTATCAGGAAGGCAAGTTCAGGGTGCTGTTCTCTTTGTTGACTCTCATGCAGCAATCCTCGCTATTACTAAATGTCTGTCTATTACTATGAATAAATGTCTGTCGAGTGCGATCTTGGAGTGCAAATCCCTTCTCTACGATCTAACACTACAGTGGATTCCGAGCCATTGCAGTATTGCAGGAAATGAGGAAGCAGATAGACTCTTCAGGAGAGGAGCAGAATTGCTTCAAACAGTCCATTCAAAATCTTACGATTCGATCCAACGAATGGTGAGGATGGTAATGAAGGAGGAAACAAAAAATATACATAAAGACATGGTGGAAGGGAGATGTTATGGATGTTTGGTGGAAAACCCGATCCCAGCTGACCTACCAAGAAGAGATGCAGTAGCCTGCTTCCGTCTGGCCACTGGTCACGACTATCTACAAAGTCATCTCCACAAGATAAGTATGGCTGAGGATCCTTGATGTAAATTATGTGAACAAGCGAAAATGTATGCAAACCCCCTGCTTTGATGGACATAAGAAATAAAACATATCTGAATGATTATATAAAAAAATCAAACTTAAATCAAGAAGTCGGATGGTTGAATGACCGATCACTATGACATAAGAAAAAAAAATTTTTACTCGAGTTTAACATATTTAAAAATTGTTTTTTTCTGTGTGTCTGCCTATCTGTAAACAAATCCATGTGAAAGCCATATTAACTATTACCGTTGACCTGATTTTCATGAAAATTTAAGATATTGAGTGAGTTGGTGTCTGACTGGAAAATGTTACCGCATCAATCACATAGTTTTGTCTTCGGGATGTCACGAGATACGCATATCACCCAATATTATACTGAGTTGAGGTGGCCCTATCCGTCCTACCAGTACTCTCTTTACCAGGATATTAGAACACAGTGACCCTCCTATATTTAACATATTCTACAATTTAAATCCTCCATTCAATACCGTATGTCCGAACTCTATCCTCCTCCTAACCAAACTGTTGCATTTGATAAATCCTTTGTAATTGAAGCAGTCTCCCTATGAAATTCTATCCCTTTCGATATTCGACAGGCTCCATCAGTTTCCTCTTTCAGATTTCTTCTCTATAAGCTACCTATTCCGTTCCTTATTTGATTGATCATGAAATGCACGTAAGAGCTCTTTAAGTAACCCCAGATACAATTTTGTTTATTTATTTTATTTTATCTCTCTGATTATTTTATGTAAATGTATACTTTTTTTTGTATATCTCTTTCTATTCCCTGTATTTTTACTTTACATAACAAATTATATTGTAAATATTAAATTTAAGCTATGGAACACTACATCTTTAATTTATATTCTGCATTATAATTTGTTCTGAAGGGAAGCTAGACCCAGAATAATACAATTATTTTCATTATATTTCATTAAATTCCATCCATTACTTGCCCTTAAACATGCAAAAATGTATTTTCCTAGACACACCTTATACAAACACACATCTTAGTTGGATATTAGCAAAAAATGATATTTTATCCAATCCCATCCACTACTCCCTCTTACATAAACACAACTAACTGTATTTCATTTTCGATTCCATATCTCAAAAACCTGCATATTCGATTGGGCCTAAATTTAGAAGGAAATTAGGAATTCATGAATAAACGATCAAGTAAATATCAATTTCATCGAACTCCATTCAACAATTAAAAAAAAACACTATTGTTTAAGATTGTGCAAACGTATTTTTCATGATGCACCTATGATTCAAAAACAGCTTGTTCTATTAGGTCTAAAGTTGGAGAAAATTTGAGGAATAGTGTACAAATAATATATCAAATTCTATTTAGCAATTTAAATTAATAGTTGAGAATACAGTGGCTGTGAAAATTCGGTAGGCAGTGAACATATGGAAATGTAGGTTATATTTATAATAATATTATATGAGGTAATAACTTTTTAAACTGTATGTATTTCTTTCTGTATTTGAATCTGTGCGACAAGGCATAACACCTGCCTAAAAAAATAACAGAAAATAATTTTCGCATTATCATGAAGAGTACCTGCGAATTTGGTGCCAGATCTAAAGAAGAGAATCAGGCCAGCAGTCAATTTTTTTTTTATAATTACATTATCTTGTAACAGAAAATCTCAAATTTAGAGGGAGAAGTTAAAGAAACAACTTTTTCGGTTTATTACAAAGGTTCATTATTTACGATTGAAATAGTAAGTGATATGAAAAATGCATATGAGCGACATATTCAAATGAAAATTAGGAAGAAATCCATTATATTCATGTGCATACTATTTACATGTGCATTCCCAACTATCCCTATATTTATCTTTTGTTTCATTTATGATTTTATCTTATTTTTCTTAACCTACCAGCAATATAAACTGAAATATCGGCAAACATAAAATTTTTTTTTTTTTTCTTGACAGTACGTCATCATATCATCTCCTTGATTAAGAAGTATTGATATTTTATTTATAAATACAAAATATTACAAGATGAAATCATACAAACGACATAGTAGTAAAAACAATTAATACCAGGTAATGTATATAAAATCATTAAAATCTATCCAAAAAATCACAAACCAATGAAAAAAACAACAAACATAATTGTTTATCATGTTTCTGGGAAAAAAAGTTATCTAGAATAAACAAGAGGTAGGAGTTTTTTTCTAAATATTTAAACTAAATAAGTAAACATAATGGTTGACCGTTGTATATTTTAGAGGAAGGAGATGATCCGGGGTGGCAGTCATAACGAGACTAAAATAATGGAAAAAATATTTTATTTAAAGCCAACATTTCAACCCGACATTGCAGATCTTCTTCAGGGAGGTGCATACAGCACGGAGTTTTAATATTACTTCCTCATTGAATGCACTCTCCTGACTGAAGAAGACCTGCAAAGTTGGGTCAATTCGTTGGCTTTAAATAAAATAGTTTTTCAACTATTTTAGTGTCTTTATGGCCGACATCCTAGACCATCTCTTTCCTCTAAATTAGCAAAGATTATTCAAAATATGAAAGAATCTCAAAATTAAAAAAAAAAAAAAAAAAAATGATATGTTAAATTTCATCATCAAGCCAAATTAATATGATACAAAATTTTGTTATTAAAAAAAATTGACCAAAACTAATTTACTAACTTTTGTCTTGTCAGAGGTAGCCGTTGTGCTGGTGGTCGTGCTGTTGGCGGCGAAGCGTTCCGCTCTTTTAACAAGAGCATCTGCCTTTGCCGGAGGACCCTTAAATACACAAAGTTCTAAGTATTTTTCAAAAGACTAAAAATTGGAAGCTATACAATATCATGCAACAGGTTTGGAAAGGCATGCAACAAACAGAAAAAATAAAATCAGAAATATAACCGGCAGTTCTAATAAAATATTGATGAATATCATTTAATCAATTATATAATAGTGATAAATGACAAACTATAAAAATTAACATGAAATGGAGAGAGATGAGAGGAAGCTGGGATTTCACAATGGAGTGAGAAGGAAAAATGGAATAACTCAGGAGCATAAAGGTCATAAATAATCAAGAATCAATTCTAAAAAAAATAATGCAAATTTAATAAATAATTATCCAATATTAGTGAAACCAGATTTTGTAGCTTAACATTTTTATTGTTGCTTTAATGGCAGGTCACATCCCAAAGCAGAATGTCCAGTGATATTGCAGGAAGAAATTCAAACATAATTCGTCTTTTTATATTATAATCCGTCATACAGTTCATTTTTTATCGAATTTTTAACATCCGCCTGAAACTTCGTAAATAGTTTCATCTCATCATAAGCTACAACTACTTTATTTACGAAAACTGTTGGAATTAGGGCATTTTCAATCTGGAAGGAGGCAAACTTTGTCTATTTAATTAGGTACTAAAAACTCATAAATACACATTTGTTTTCTACTCAGATCGTAAGATAATTGATCACAAAATTGATAAAAAAAGGTGTGCTACAAAAATATTGGGCCGTTTGTCCTATATAACCTCTTTATTTTGAAATTTGAGGATGAAGGTCACCCCGAACGGCTCAATATTTTTTAAGGCAATCTTTTTTCCCGATTTTATGATCAAATTATCTTACGATTTAGGTGGAAAGCAAATAGGTATTTACGAGTTTTTAGTACCTAATTAAATAGACAAAGTTTGCCCCTCTCCAGATTGAAAATGCCCCAATTCCAAGAGTTTTCGTAAATAATATAGTTGTAGGTTACGACGAGATGAAACTATTTACGAAGTTTCAGGCGGATGTTAATAATTCGATAAAAAGGGGTCTGTACCACGGACTATTTTATATATATATATATATATATATATATATATATATATATATATATATATAATTTTTAAAATGGGGGTTGGTCCTGGCAGACTATTAATGATAGGTGGGATATTAATGACCAGCCATAATCCCCATTTTACAAATTATACAACTGTAATTTACATGTATTCTATAGTTCAGATTGTATTATTTTATATCAATCTAAAATAATCTGAACTAAACCACAGTTTGGACAAATTTTTAATTTCTTTAAAACTCTATATTATATATAGCGCCTTATTGCCAATTTATATTATCATATAATTATAATTATAGACAATTTGAAACCATATATATTATATTTAATATAATAATCAAATTATTGTATTCAATAGGAAAATCTCTAGATCGAAAAACAACTGCTGTCATCTATATAAAATCAAACTATCACTTCCAGATAAATAATATTTTCTGTATAAATCTTTGGTCTAAAATTTCTATTTTGTATTAGGACAGTAGGAGGTTACAGGAGCTCATCTCATATGAAATAAAATGAACATCTGTGAAATGAACATAAGTGCTAATTATACAGCCAATAGGAGAGTTCCTGCAATCTTCTACTCTATAAATACTAAAATAAAATATGAGTCACTCACAACTTTTTTAAATAATAGAGGACTTTTTTTGTAAATAAAATAGGTTACTAAAGTAAATATGGTCTATTCGGTATGCCACAATCCATACTGCACTTTTCCAGTTGTCATAGTTCGCTACTGACTTGGACAGCGGCCTATAGAGAAAAACACACTAAATTGTGATATTTTGTTAGACTCAGATGGTTTATTTTTATGTACTCATCAGCTATTGAGTCATTATTAGCATTTGGATTAAAAAGATTACTCCTTATTTTTTTTTTTTCTGTTAAAGGAAAAACGGAGTTCTCAACAGATTGATGCCAATCTTAGATAGTATATTTAAAATACAAAACCGTATGGGATCTATTTTGAAATTTTTCACACTACAATATATTGTTTTTTTTATTGCAAATTCGAAACAAAAACAAAATAGTTATGCAATTTGGGACATAAACCTTATCTGCAGAGAAACAACCTTAGAAAATCGACCATCAATGAACACCTCAAGATCATAAAAATAAAAAAAAAACCTGCATTATGAAGTTCGTGCTACACTTCTTTGCCAAATCAAAAACGACTCTCTTCTATCCAGAATTGTGATTAAAAGTGGATACTTTACGATAACAGTAGACGTTCTGGACAGTGGTTTGAAAAAGGAAAAGCAGTAGAACATTTTCCGAAGTCTCCAACTTATCAAAAAAAGGTGATGGTTACTGTTTGGTGGACTTCATTTGGTTTGATACACTATAGCTTCTTAAATCCTGAAACCATTAATGCCGAATCGTTTTGTAACCAAACTAATGCAATGCATCATAAATTAACAATATAATGAAGACATCTTTGGTCAATCAGAAGGGGCCCATTTTGTTACATGACAACCCCAGTCACATGTCTCATGTGTGACATCACAAAAACTGTTGGAGCTTGGATATGAATCTCTGCCACACCCGCCCTACTCTCCGGACCTCTCGGCTACAGATTATCATTTTTTCAGAAACCTGGATCAGTAGTTATGTGACAAAAAATTTAATGGACAAAGGGGATTAGAAAGTGCGTTTTTGGAGTATATCAATTCTAAAGATGGGAAATTATATTCCGAGAGAATGGAAAAGTTGCTAACACTATTGGCAGAAATGGAGACTATGTTGATTAAATAAAACAGTTGTAAATCTTTCTTTTTTTCTTTTTAAACCAAATCCTGCATTATTTTCCAGACAACCCAATATTTTTGTTCTATATTCACAAAGTGCTAACATTTACAATACATACAATTATAGTTATCTATAAATTACTCTAGTAAACTTTGCTCTGTCTGATCGTCATTTTTATCATAATCTTAAAATGATACAATAGATTTATAATAACTCAAATATGTGATGAATACTTTTGATTGAAATCTATTCGCAAAATATATAACAAAAACTCCATCATTTATTTAATATAACTTCTGTAATTGGTACTCAGTTGACGCAAAATTTGATGCTCTACAACTTTGATTCTATAGGTTTTCCTGTAAGGGAACTCATTTCCAAGTTACCGGACCATTTATAGTAATTTGTCTCAGTTTTTGATAAATTAGGTTAAAATCAGTGTTGGTTGACCGTAGTTTTATACCTTACCATGTAACCAAATTATAAAGTTTATGTACTCATTTGACACAAAATTTAACTTCTTTACTTTATTAAAGAATACATTTTTTGCTTTGATGCATCGTTTAGGAGTTATAGGTGAATAACCAAAAAATATCGAAAAAATCTGACTTTTTAGGCTGTAAAAAGTTTTCCCTTGGTAGCCCGCATCAGCAATTTTGTTTTTTACATGTCTAAACCCATATATATAAGTTTAAACAAATAAAAACTTTTCCCACATTTATCGTAATGGATTTCCCGTTTTGATCCGCAAATTACTGGCCTAATATTCTTTAAATCAGCCACTATTTTTGTAAGCAGTGGCTCTGGAATGGCAGACAATGTTCTTTTTACCCAGAATAACAAAGACTTTCGTAATTTACAATCAAACCACCTTCGCCTGCGATCAGGTCAATCTTTGGGCCATGGCTCAAGAGCTATAGTGTTTGTAGAGTAACCTAAGAATTAGAGGTGAGGATGGTCTACACCACAGGCCAATAAACAATAAAGGGTTAATATTAATATAAATTAGAATGGATATAATAATTAATAACAATAAACTTATAAAATTAGGCCCTAATGGATTAAGTCAGAAAGATAAAAACCATTAGGTCTATTAATTGTTGTCACAATATTACATCAGTAAAATCTAAAAAAAAAATATTCTTACTTCGGCACCAGCACCAAATCTCTCTGCTCTTAACTTTTTCTTATCTGCCTCAGAAGTGTCACTGCCACCAGCTTTTAATGATATTTTCCGCTGAAACGAGCAAAAAAAAATGTAATTATAAATTTAATAATTTTAAGTAAATTATGAAAGACTGTTTATTGCGTTACAATGAATTCTACTAATAAAATTTTCAATGAATTATGTGGTTTTCTGTAGGTGATTTACAATATACTAGCTGAAAAATCATTATTGTAAGAATGGTATATTAAGCAGACCTGACACGTTCAGACGGAATGACATTCCTAAGCATGATTAACATTCTCATTAATCATTTATGGTTAGGATTGATATACCGATTGAAGGGCCTGACACATTTCCAGATATCACAGCTTCAATCGAGAGAAGTGGAGGGGAGACTAACCTGAATACTAGATAACCTAGATTACCTAGGCCTAATAACCAACGTACAATCCTGATTTTCATTTTTAAAAAACAGTTTTTTCATATCAGTAGTTTATATTTTTATTAACAATCTTCAAATAATTTTTTTTTTTAAACAATCAAGTGGGCAATAAATAAAAAATGTTTGCCAAGTAAGGGCAGTATAGCTTCCTCACAGTTTTCATTTGATAAACAATATCAATATTTCAAGGTATATAATTTTTAGTTTAAGTCGTTTTCGGAAATACAATAATGCCTCAACATTTGTGGGTTCATTATCCACAAATTTTGTTCACCAGCAAATATTAAAATGAGGGAGAGTTCCACATTTTCAAATAACAAATTGTGACTGACAATAAAAAATTCCCAGTACATACTCAACAAGCATATCGCTACTGTTAGTGAAAAAGGTTCTATATAAATATTGATTGTTTTACAGGAGAATATAAAAACTAATTATCCCTTTGTGATTAATTTGTATAATTTCATATTTTATTTTGCTGTTATATTACATAGTAGCAAAATGTCATCTTTAGCTAAAATAGAATAATAATAAATAATAATAAGGCTTAGCGAACCCGAAGGTTCGATGCCGACACCACCAATCGCTTGTTACATACCTCCCTCCACCGTTCGCCGCCCAAACCCAGTTCCTTCAGATCAGCTTTAATGCAATCTTCCCACCTTCGCTTCGGTCTACCCCTCGGACGCTTACCATTCGGCACAGCAAATATTAACTTTTTAGGAATTCTCTCGTTACTAAGCCCAACAACTTTACAAGCCCATTTGATTCGCCGCGATGAAATTACCTCAATTATATTACCCGGATACAGTTCACGCAATTCAGCGTTGTGTAACCGTCTGAACTCTCCGGTTAACTCATCCTTATCGGTCCGAATATTCTACGCAATACTTTATTTTCAAAAACCTTAAGACGCTGCTCATCCCTTAATGTAAGCGGCCAAGTTTCGCATTCATAAAGAACTGTAGGCAAGAGAATTGTTTTATAGATTCTAATTTTTAAGTTCCGGGACAAGAGGCACGAACTAAGTAGTTTTGTCACAGAAAAATAACAAGCATTTCCCGCCTTCAGTCTAACCTTAATCTCTTCTTCAATTTCGTTTTTTCTAGTTATCGTAGAACCTAGATACCTAAATTTATAAAAATAGAATATAAAAGGTAAAATTTTATATACGCTATTTTGCATTAACAGTAGCGTTATATATTTAATATGGTATGTTTCCAATCATAAAATGGATGGAGAACAAAAAATCCATAGGAAAAATTCAAATTTTTGTTTGTTCGGAGTTAAGGAGACCAATACTTTTTTCAGCCAGAACAAATCTAATTAAGCTGGAATATAAAAATGTGTGAAATTCGGGGAAATTGGGACCACATCCAGCTGATTGTACTCCAATAGAAATAAACACTTTTCAATAACGTTTGGAATCAACCGAACAATACAGTATAAATTAACTTTTTGAATAAAACCTAAAATTGTATAACCCCATAGAACTATTGTCTTAATCTAACTCCCACTCCTTATGATCAATGCCCCCCACATTTCACAGCCATTATATTGTTAATCATTTATATTAATATTAACTATTAAATGGAATTGATACTAGATAATTTCTATACTATTCTCTAAATTTCTTCCAAGTTTGGGTCAAATAGAATGCGCAGTTTTTAAACTATGGGCGTGTCAAATAATACATTTCCTCATCTGAAAGTTAAAGTATTTATTTTTGGAGTAATGGATAGAAATTGATAAAATTCATACATACATGATAATCTGTTTATCAATTCACTCCAAACTTAAGCCAAATCAAACGTGTTTTTATTTTTCCAAATTATGTCAAATCGATTTTAAGGGACGTAATTATTACAGCTCCACTTTTCTCTTAATGTCCAGTGCTATATCGGATGATGGCCAATAAGCTTTTTCAATGAAATAAATTATTAACAGGCAATATCCAGCTCCACACTGCCTGCTATCTCAACATCAACAGAGCTAAAACGATGCTAGTCTTACTGTTATCTGTACGATCCAGAATGATTGAAGTTATTATCGTCAGTCTAGTGACTGTCATTCATGAGGTTCCACTTAAGAATTTAATAAGTATTTTACCTTTTGTTGGGTTGTATTTGGTACTTCAGCTTCCTCATTAGAAGTTCCATTCGTCGGATTGTCTTCAGGTGTTTGTAGCGCCTCAGTGGCCTGGGCTTTTACAGGTGAAGAGCTAGCTGGTTCTTCTTTTTCCTAAATCAATAAGTTACTATGATATGACGATACAAGAAATTTTAATAACTCAATAACAGTATATTATTGCCATATTAAACCTAAGAAAAAAACATTGCTAGATTATCATAGCTATCTAGAACCAATGCTAACAAACCATCTGTATTAAAAAAGTACCTATTCCCTTTATCAACAACAAAACTGGTTTTAGAGGGTTTCAGATCAGAAATGGGCATTAAAAACAATGAATCATATTTTAAATAATAATAATGATTCTAGTTCAAAAGTGTTACTCCAATATGGTGGCTGGGCACAAGATGAAACTTAAGTATGGTAGTATTGAATTCACAAAGCTCCTCACTAACCTCATCAATAATATGCATAAAAGAGAAGAGAAGATAAACTGTGAGAAATAAAAATGCGATATCTCAATAATATATTTATAACGAAGATGGAAGAGTTTGTGATAATTACAGAGGCATCTGTGTGACAAATGCAATTGAATAAAGCTGCTGAGCAGAGAAATAAAAAATAAATTAGAACTTAAATTTGTTAAAACTGTAGAGTTGGGGATGTACAGTGGAAAAATCCTGCATCGATCACATTTTAATATTAAGAAAATTAATGGAAAAGCAAGGTAATTTTATATGATATTTAAAAACCTAAAAGGCTAAATACGATAGCTTACCTAAGAAACTATGAAGGAAATCCCTTTAAATAGCAGATATAAACAATAGCATATAAATAATAAGTAACATATTTAAAAATAAAAAAGTGACTTCTAGAATGTTGCAAGACACAAACATGTATTAAAAAAATTCATTACTGCTCGGTTAAAAAAACGGACAGATAAATATTGCTTAATAAGCATTTCAATAAATGGCATGTATTTATATCACTTGTTATTTGCTTATGATCAACTCACAAGATGAAGATGACACAAGCTACCTGTTTAAGAATCTCTTGGACAGATCACGGATATGATGGAAAAATGAAATAGATGAAAGCAAGGCCAGCCATGGATTGTTGCAAGAAATGATTGCTAGCAAGATTTGGAGAGAAATATTTAAGGAAAAATTTGGCTGAGAGAAAGTTCATATGTGGAGAAATCCTTAAAAAAAAAAAAAATAAAAAAAAAAAAAAGGATATCACTCAATGACACTTACACTGATAAGCATTATTAGTGGTTTTAAAAATATGAATACTTCAATTAGATGATTGTAGTACCTCCACTCATTATAATCACCATATTGGATTAACACTTCAGAACAAAATTTAGTAACTATATATAAGAAGCATAAGTTGATTAATGATTTACAATATAATCAATAATTCAGTGAAATAAAAACTAATGTCATAATGATAAAACAGCACTTTCCTTTTAATGGGGAGCCACTTATTCTTTCACATATTAGATGGTGTTACCTTAAAAATTAATTGCTATGTTAACATTGGTTTGTACAAAAATTGAAATATAACTTCATCTCATGCACCTGTGTGAATAAATTTGTTTTCAAAAGGATCCCGTGTTGTTGAAAATCAAATACGAGCTCTTCTGTAACAGGCAAATTCATGGCTAAGGCTTAACGACGCAACAAGCACTATTGAACTGAACTATGAAACTAAACTGCAATGATGAGAAACTATAGATTGTTTAATGAGTTCAATGTTTGGTTTAGAACTTTGTAATATAAACAAAGACAAAATAAACAACAACAACGATAATCAAGAATACAATTAATATGGAATAGTCAATAACATAAATTAAGATAACTAGCTTTTATCGAACAAAAGCATAAACTCAAGTAGAACAAGGGGACTCCTGTTAAACGGAAAGTACCAACAGAACCAACAAATTAAATCACAATTAACTTTCAACTCACAAATAAAAGAATTGGTAATATGATATTACACACGAAATATAAATTAGCAGTATTGATAAATATAATCAATAGTTATGATAATTCCATAGAAGTGAGGTTTTAATCTATCATTGATAAAAAAATAACTTCTTTCAATTAAGAAGTAAAGAACTATGCCATTTGATATTCATTTTGTAAGTGTAAAATGACACGGATAAAAGCATGTAAACATATATAGCACACATTGACAGAACAATACAAACAAGCATCTGCCTCTGAAAAGTAATCATTTCTTTTAAAATGAATAACTAGAATAATAATAATTGAGTCAATTAAGGAAAAAAAAAAATAAATAAATAAACTAACACTTAAGCACAGAAGTGAAGTGAAAGCAATCCATAACCTATAGACCATCAATAAATTGTTACCTCATGTTTTTCTTCTTTTTCAGTGCTTTCTGTTTTATCTTGGTTTTTCTCCATAACTGTATCATCCCCCATCAAGCAAGATTCATCTAACTCCCTCTGTAAACAATAAATAAAACTCAATCACAGGGGGTCTTGAACACAATTTATAACTAGAAACGAATTCTGATAAATCTATATTAATCCATAACACATTACCTCAAGATCACCATCCTCTAATACATCTTCACCATCACTACCATCCAGAAGATCCTCTAAAAACAACCAAATTGTAAATTAAAATAGACACCGACGTTTCCCACCTAAACTGGTCTTCCATTTAAAGTTCAAAAATAAGATTTACCGGATGGTGCTTCTATTGACTGCAACCTTTCGACTAATTCTTGCTTATTTCCAGTCATTGGTAATCCCCTATTTTTTAATATTTTCTTTAAATCGTTCACCTACAGAAAGAACAGAAAAAGTATTTATTGACTTGTATAGGTTATACCCGCGGAGCTACAACACGTAGTGTGTACTGAAATTAACAACTGTATTTACCTTCATTTTCGAATAGTCAGTTGTTTCGCAAGTTTCTCCACCTGCATCAGACATTTTTTTGATAAAATAATAAAAGTAAAAATAATGATAGAATCCTTCCGCGTTAAAGTCAGCTAGAACAACCTTCCAGTCACCACACTACACAAACACGCACTGGTGTACCGGTCTCTATAAGCTTCGGAAATTTGGCGAGTTGGAGTTATGAATGAAATAACTAATCGTTTCGAGGTTTATTTAGAGATATTTATTTAACGGGTATATTTTCATTAATAAACAATTCTTAATTAACAGTGATTTATTTAAGTTACTCAATGAATGTTTGTGAAGGTTATGTTTATGAATATTTTCATGACTCCCTTTTAGTGTTTTATTAGTTTGTGTTTTTATCAATTTGAAAGGCAAGTTCTCAATCATGAATGAGGAGAATTTCGATTCACTAATGGAAAAAGCTAGACAGGAAGGAATGCTTAAAGAAGATGAATACCATTGGAAACCAGAGGTAACATTTCATTTCCTTCTTTTTATAATGAAATTAAATAGTTTCAAGTTAATCCCCGAAAAAAAAAAACTGATCACCTCATATTTGTTTACCTGATTGGTTAGTGACTTAGATTTGTTCTGTTGTGCTGAAGTTCATAATTTTAAATTGATGCCTTCCAGAACATTTATTACCAATAAACTTTATTATTATGTAAGTTACTTTTATAATCTTCATTGTTTACATTTTAGGATATGCAAGATTCGTTTTTTTTTTTTTTTATTATTTGCATGTATTTATTTACTTTCTGTAATCAAATGAAAAACTTTTGTAATACTTAGGACAGTTTAATCTTGTTTTTTTATTTCTAGTCTGACAAAGACAGTGATTATGGTGGATCTGATTACACCTCGAGTGGGCCTACAACATTTCGAATGTTGATTGAAAAAACCCAAATAAGAGATATAGAATTTATTGAGTGCTGTCAACAAGTTGGAGTCATAGCTACATCTTCAATTTGTTCTAAGTGCTCAGTTTCAATGGTAACAAGTTGAACTTTACGTTGATTATTGATAATATATGAGCTTTTCAGTTGACTGAATGACTAACTCCAATTTCAAATTTTTTGAGTAAAGTCATTTTAGTAATAGTTCTAATTGGAAGATTTATAATATCTGTACAGACAGCAAGGTTTAAATTTTCTCACTAAAATTAATAATTAAAAAATGTTGAAATTGGAGTTAGCCATTCTGTCAGCTATAAGGCCCATATTGTTCATTGAGACTTTTACTTCTTCATCAGAAACAAATAACGGCTTGATTTTTATGTTTCCAAACTATGATGATACAAATCACATATACTGTTTTGAATTATTAAGTATAACTACAATTAACAATAATTACAATGCTACGAGTTAAGAGGAAGAATATCAAGCACATTGATTACTATTGTACAAATTTCACTTTACTTTCACAGTCGGCCAAGATCTCATGATCACCCCATAAGTGGAATCCCGAGAAAATCCAATTATATCTAAATGTATCTATGTATCTAATTATATCTATAATATCTAGTTGAAAATGATCAAACCTTCTGATAAGGTCCTGGCCTCGATTGAAATTTGAAAAGGACTTGTCAGGGGTTTGTTTATCCCAGTTTACCGAGCAGAAGTTGAAAGCTTTTATTTAAGCTAATTAACATCGCAATTTTAAGTGAAAAGGACCTGTAGTGAATTTGCTGATGCCATAGGGAGGTTATACTGTAAACATGTTGATAATCCTAAGCTATTCTTAAATTCCATTTATAGTGTGATCATGGGATCATGACCCACTCGCTAAAGTGATGTCACACTTACACAGCGTCAACTTTCTTGGTTATGTGATCCTCAGTCTAAATGATGCAAGCCAAGCTTTCGATATCTATTTGAAACAATTTTTAAATTCTAATTGGCAGTGTAATAATAATGATGTTCTATTTTCATATTTGATAAATAACATCTCTCAAATCTTATAACAAAACATTGAGGTTGTGGTTACTTAACTGTCAGCCAGTCAGTTACCGACCCTGATATTGATGAGATCAAAAAAGTATTGGCACAGTTAACTTTTTCCAGATTTCATTGTAAAAGAATCCAAAATTGATTTGCTTAACATTTTTATTTAATAAAATATTTAGAAAAATACATAATTGGGATAAAAAAAAAAATTTTAATTTACTTAATTAAAAAATTCAGTAAACGAAAAATCATGATTCAAATTTAACATAAATAAAAACAGCGGTTGAATTTGTGTTTCAAAATAAATCTTAGAGTGCACTGTAGTAGATAAAATAGTTTCTTTATTACGTAGTAGACAATTAAAGTGGCAATTTGTGATGAGTAGTTTTTATTGTTTATAGTTAAAGTCATACCATCTGATCAACCCAATTACATATTTGTTACAATTGAAAAAAATTTAATGTTTTCGTTTGTTTATAAAGATTATTAAATTATCAGTTAAGGCAGTCTACTAATCTTTTTATTATGCTTTGAATTAATTAACAAATCAACAACATGAATACAAGTAATGAGTATTTGTTTAACCCTTTGATTGCGGTAGCTTATTCGCATGTTTCTACCAGATGATGCATTATGAAATCCAAAAAGACATCCCGAATAATAGATTTTTTTGTCATAAATTTGTTTAAAACAGTATTTTGAATCACCCTGCAAGATCTTAGCTTTCGAAAATGTATTTTAACCTTTTTATTCAACTTATAAAAAAACAGGACATATGCCTTCTCGGCCGCACATAGAAATGCAAAATTATAGAGTGGCAATTCCACAACATTTCGCTTTATTGCGTATTTTCTTATTTCTGAAAAGCAAAATAACTGAAATTTATCATCAAAATAACTTAACTGTAAGTGATCATAAATTATATTATTTCTGGAAAAAATGACACTGATGGCTGGATTCGAATTATATATTTCGGTACTTTTCGTCTAGGGGGCCGCTACTGACTGCTATCTGCCAATTTTTATAACCTGAACACTGATAACTCCCATAAAGCACTGATAAGCCTTCTTTTACTCCATATCTTCGTATTATTGTATTAAATTCGTATTATTGAAAGTGTAAACAGATACAAAAACAAATTTAATAACAAAAACAATACTTTTATTTGACGACACATGTATTAATTAAACAATAAAAAAAAACACTTTAAGAAGATATGTACATATAAAACATCAAAATGAAATAATAAAAAACACATTTAAAAGAACATATTTACATAGAAAATAAAAAAAATAAAACGAAATCGGTTTTATAAAAAGATAAAACATTCATCTGTTTCTCGGCAAACTCCACCAAACATCCACTGCTGAGATAAAACTCTCCCCACATGATTTTTTCGTTTAGAAAAAAGACTTTCTTTTACTTCAACCACTTTGCCAGGTCCTCCAATTTTTTTTCTTGGCCTGTATAACATGTCATGGGCACAAACCTCTCTTAGACATTTGTTCCACGTTACCATAGCTCTGTTGAATAGTTTCAGCTGCTCTTTGGCCCACTTCATCGTTGTCAAGCTATGGGACCATCCATAAATCAATTTTAAAGCTGTCAAAAACGAAATCCTCGAGCCCTCCAACCATGTTCCTTTCCTTATTGAAAGTTTTGTGTCATAAGTCCTACGAAAGCATCTCCATTTGGCCTTCCTGGTTGACTTCATTCGATGACCTCGATCACACGTCGATTCAAGTACCCCAATATTTTAAAAATATTGAAGTGCCTGTTCTTCTGAAGGCGTCAAATTCCATATACTAAGAAGATCCATAATATGACGAAAAGAAACACAAAGGAGCCACAAACTAAAAAAAAAGTGAAATAAACACAAACGGGTCAAAAACTAAAAATAATGAAAAATAAACACAAACGGACCAAAAGTAAACAATTTAATAAGTGAACGTAATAAGGGAATAACTGAAAACTAAACAATGCAATAACTGAAAGGTTTGGCGGGATAAGAAGAGGGAGGTTATGTGACGTGACGTTAGATAAGATAGATAAGAGGTGAGGTTTCAGTCCGGCCTGCTAGACAAAAAGTACCTATATTTCTTTGTATTTACAATTATTTTTCTCACCTAAAAATCTCTAAGATCTTGCCACGCCAGTGACCTCTCCCTGCTCTCAACGTGGATCAATACTTGTTCAGTTATATCACATTCAACTGTTTGAAAATGAAAAATAGGGATCAAGATCGTCATTGTGAAAATTAAAATTGTCTCTAATATGCTCTCTACCAGTCAGGTTTGTTTTTTTAAAAAGATGCTGATAGCAACTATTTAAAATTTTAATCACAAATAAAAAAAATCTGGTGCGCGCAACACACAACTTTCACTTACTCTTTGAACTTTGCTCAACTTTGAATAGAAATTATTTTCTGGCCATGTTGGGCTATTATAAGATGTTTTAAATTTCATTTTAAACTGAGCTAAAGCTAACAAATCATAAACGCTATTAAAATAACAAAAGTCCTATTTATTATATCACCGGTTGATTATTGATTGTACGATTCATCGATTATTGATTGTTCGATCCATTGATTATGGATTGTTCGATTCAGTGATTATGGATTGTACGACTATTAGTTATTAAATTGTTATTTTCCATTGCAAAGTTTATTAAAACGGAATTAAGAGATTTGTATTGTCTGTCATAGACACGTCAAAAGTTGTCACACTAATTGTAAGTGGATTCTGTTGGAATATGGCAGAGAGAAAAGTTATCAAATTATTCACTAATTTAATTTTCTAAAAGGTTACATGATGATTTTTCAGAATAAACAGACGATAGATACATAAATATTTATGAGATCTAGAGTTATTAAACAACAGTAAATATATTTAGGGTTATAAACGTATCTATGAAATATTTTTATATTTCACACAAGTACAATGAAATAGTAGTGGAATATCACAAAGGGAAGATCTATCGAATTATTCACTAATTTAGTTTTATAAAAAGTTATATGACAGTATTTCGGAATAAACTTTGATACCTAATTTTTGAATATAATATCAGATCTATAATCACTAA